TACCTCCCTTTGTGAAAAGAATCGAAAATACTATAAAACTGAAAGTGGCTTGGGGTTTTTTCTCAATTTCAAAGTATTTTTCTTAAACATAAGTAAATGTTATTTGTAAAGGTTCCCCTTGCTCCAAGATGGATATTTCATGCCACAGGTGGGGCCCACCCTTTATTTATAATGAATTGAGCTTTCTGTGGGACACTGCCATCTGCAGCCCCAGGGATTTTAGGATGTTGGATCAGACCTGTCTCCATCAGGCTGCTTCTGGAGCCAAGCTCTGCTCCTTGGAAAACAAACCAGTTACGGAAACGGCCTTTTTTCCTGCTTTTAAGCTGAAAGAGAGTAGGTTTAGATAAGACATTAGGCAGAAATCGTTCCCTGCTCAGGTGGGGAGGCCCTGGCACAGGATTTCCAGAGAAGCTGTGGCTGCCCCTTCCCTGGAAGTGTCCAAGGCCAGATTGGAGCAACCTGGGCTGGTGGAAGGTGTCCCTGCCCAGGGCAGGGGGTGGAACAAGATGAGTTTTAAGGTCCCTTCCCACCCAAACCACTCCATGATTCTGTGACCCAAAGCTGAGCACTGGGAGAGGACTCAGGCTGCCAGTGGGAGTGTTGGGAGGACAGAAACCAACCCCCTCTGCCCCCGCCTCTGCCCCTGATGATGTGGGTATCAGTAAATGTCTGGGTAAATGTGTCCCAGGCATGTGCAGGAGTTCAGTAGGTGCTGAAATGTCCCCTTGGAGGGATGTTTTCCCTGATCAAAGGCCTTGGAGAGGAGGAACAGAGAGGGGAAAGTAAAATAAAGTAAAATGTGAGTTGTTCAGCTGTTGAGATAAAAATGAAAGTTGGGCAGTGGAACCTCCTTTCTCAGTGTGCTCCACCTGTGCTCGGTGGAAGAGGTTTGGGTATTGCATTTCAGGCTGGCTCTGGAACGGGGTTTTTTCTTCTATCTCCACATCAGTTATTCAGACAAAGTGGGAATTCTTGGTGTGCAGTTTTGCAGAGTTCAGGCTGCCATTTTTCTGAAATTGTTTTCTGAAGGTTGTCCCCTTGCTGGAAGGGTTTGGAGCACAAGCTCCTGCTGGCACTTGTCAGAGCTGTGGGGACTGGAGCATCTCCCTGCCCAGGAAAGGCTGAGGGAGCTGGGGCTGTTGAGCCTCCAGAGCACCCCCTGAGAGGGGCCCTCCCCAGGGTGTGTCAGGGGCTGCAGGGAGGGGGCAGAGGATGGCCCAGGCTCTGCTGGGGGGGCCCAGCAATGGCACAAGAGGAACGGGCAGGAACTGATGCCCAGGAAGCTCCAGCTGGACAGGAGGAAGAACTTCTTCCCTGGGCAGTGCCCCAGCTCTGAACAGGCTGCCCAGGGAGGGGCTGGAGTCTCCTCCCTGGGGATATTCCAGAGCCCTCTGGACACAATCCTGTGCCCTGTGCTCTGGGATGGCCCTGCTGGACCAGTGACCCACTGGGGTCCCTTCCAGCCTGACCCCTTTGGGATTGTGTGATGGCACCACGTGCAGTCCTGCCCTGGGAGGGTGGTCACCACCACCTACAGCTCTAGGACACTGGGGTGGCCCACAACAAGGAGAACCTGGGCTGTGTGAGGCTGTTAACACCAAGCAGGGGAGTTCAGTGCCACCCTTGATTACCTGACACAACGATCCCAAGCAGATACAGCCCGAGTGCCACGTCACCATCCCTGCAGTAGCTGGTGCACTTTGTGACGTGGTTTAGCAGTCATGGGGGTATTTGGATGAACATGGGACTTGATGATCTTGGAGAGCTTTTCCAGCCTTAATGATTTTGTGATTCTATGATTCTACGAAAGGAAGAAAAGAAAATTGTAAGTCGAGTTGTAGAGCTCCCTGAGGCAAGATAATATTACAGTGAAGAGCTTAGGGGGGTTCAGGGGATTATTAGACATTTATAGAAATACTAATAAAGTTATCACACTTGTACCAGGTAGGATGTGAGTTTTCTAGGGGAAGGAACCCTCAAGGGTCATTGTATTAACCATCCTCTTGCCAGGAGGGCTTGGAGGGTTTTCCCTTGTGACTGAGTGTGGGGGCTCCCCATTGTGCCACCACATCTGCACCTGGGATGAGTTAGGAGCAAATCCCACATGAAATGGTCCATTGATGTTCTGCATCACTTGTGACCTTCTGCCCAGGCCTGGATGTGCTGTCTCTGCTGGTTTCTGCTTTGGTGTGTGATGGGTTCTGCTGCACTGACACCCACGGTGGTGCCTTCCCCAGAGAGAAGGTCCTGTTTGTTTATTTAGAGGAAACACTCGTGATTAATGGCACCAACTCTGTTCTTAGTGCTGGGAAACAGCTGCTGACAGCGTGGGGCTGGCTGGGGTGAGCACCCCAGGTCCCTCCCGCTGCTGGGAAGTGGCTGTGAGGTGTTCTGGGGAAGCTCGGCGGTGCCACACAGGCCGTGTGTCCCAACTGACAGCTGAGCAAACTCATGAACCAGCAGCTGGGGATGATGATGTTGGCTCTGAGGATTAGCACAGCAGGTAGCCGTGTTGGCACAGGGCAGGGCTGGGGCTGAGGGATAAGTACACATTCTTTTATTATTGCAGCTAATGGGAATCTGCCAG